GCGGCACCAGGCGGTCCATGTTCTGCAGCACTGTCCCCATCAGGTCACCTGGAACAGAGCACGGGCACCTGTCCACCTCCCCGGCAGCAGGTTTGGGGATTCACCTCCTCCTGCCCATGGCCCATTCCCAGCAGAGCCCCAGGCAGGACAGCCCAGCACAGCAGTGTGGGAGCACCTCTGCCCAGCCAGTTTCTCCATGCCACTGGGCCCTCCACATGGGCTGGGTACATGCCCATCCTGGCAGGGAAAGCCCATTAACGGAACACCCTCTTCCTTGCTGAGTGTCTTCACTTCTCTGGAACCAGGAAACGCAGCCACATGCATGGGAAGAATAAGGCAGTGGAGCCTTGGAAACCTCGGAAAGGGTGCAAGGGGTTCTGGGTTTGGCCTTCCCAGGGCTAAACTCAGAGGGATGGGATTTGGAAAGATGTTACCACAGCTGAATTCCTTACCAGTGACCGAGACGGTGGCTCTGACCGAACCTTCAATCACATTCAGAGGCAACATCAGGGACACGGACTCCTGTGCTGGATTCCCTGACACCGGCAGGGTACAGTGCATGGGGAGGACAAAAAAAAAAAAAAAAAAAAAAAAAGGAGATTCTGATGAAAACAGAGCCTTCAAAACCCCTAGAGACTGTTTGAGACAGCTCTGTGCTGACATCCCATTTTCCTGTCACAGAGGTCGCAGATCTCCTCAAAAACCCTGTCCCGTTCCACTCTCAACTCTCTCCATCAACCTCATTGCGACTGCGCTACCCCAACCGCCCTCCTTCTAAAGAGGTGGAGAGGGTCTTCTCCTGGAAGCCCTCTGCGGTCAAAGCCACCTCCCTCCTTCTGCAGCTTGGTCACCTTGACAAAGGAAATATTTCAACGAGTGGAAAGAGTCAGGAGGTGGTTAGGTAGGAGGTGGGGGGGACGAGCAGGGTGAAAGAAGACAACCACCCACCTTTCTGGGGACACAGGACGGAGCTGTGAGCCTTTTCTACCAGCACTCCCTCCGGCTGTTGGAGCACAGAAAAGGAGCGTTATAATGAGCACACAGGAGAGAAACAGGGTTACACGTGGATTAGAAATAGACATGGACAAAATCCCAGTTCAGGGTGGAGAGTCAGCTGGACTGACATCCCTACCACATAAAAATGTAAATTCTTGTCAACTGTTTTCATTTCAGAGGAGAAATCAGCACGTGTTTTCAGAACATCCTAACTTCTGAACGGCTGCGGAACTGCTGCTGTAACATTCAGCAGAGCTCAAGAGTGAAGGCATAAGAGTCCCCACATTTGAAGTCCTCCACGGTGTGGAGGGTATCCCTCTACCTCCTGCATCCACCAGCATTCCCGGTTGGACCCAGCTCAGGCCCTGCTATTCTCATTACACCCCTTGAATAGCACGGGGTAACTCCCAAAATTAACCTGCACCACATCTGGGAACTGTGCAAAGCCCACTTCTAGGTGCAGGGAACAGAAGAGCTTGGCTAACCCGGACTAGGAGCAGTTTGGTGATGGTGTCTTTCTGTCCTTGGTTGGGGACAAACGGTATCTCTTCGCCACAGAGCTCTCTGGTGGCCACAGCCTCCGTGTTGAGGGTGATGTTCATGACCCCTGAAAATAACACACATTCAGGTGCATAAAACGCCTTCTGAGGAAGCACTTCCCATGAATACAACAGAAGTCACCTACTGGCAACAAAAAATTGGATCAGAGCCCTATATGACTCTGTTCCTCCTATCACAGACTTGCGAGTAACCACGACCATAGGATGAATGCAGACCAGTACTCCCTGGTGAACAGGGCAAACCACTCCTCACTTCACACCAGCCCTTACAGAACATGCCCACCTTTGTCTCATCCCTTCCCAATTCCACTGCTCCACCTCCCTGTTCCTCTCACCCAGTCGCTCAGCTGTGACACTCCACTGGAAGGTCTCAGCTTCTCCGGCGCACAAGCAGCTGCTGTAGACACAGCCTTTGCACGGCTTCAGCTGCAAGTGGGCCGACTCCTCCAGGGTCACTTGGATCTGACGAGGCAGCAGGGATGGCAGGTGGGAACACGATAAACATCACGGGCCACAGATCTCAGCCATCTCCCACCCACCCACACCCTGCTTTTCTTGCAGACCCTACCAGGGCTCACCTACCTTCATGCATCGCAGCAGGGAGTTGAAGACCGTTGCCTTCAAGAGGAAGGTCTCGCCCTGGACCACAGAAGATGGCACTGTGAGCTCCACAAGAAAGGGCTTGAAAACACGCAGGCGGGAGACTGGAGCAAGTCCAAAGCCATTAGGTCCTGTGCAGAACATCCCTGCTTTCCATTCCGTGATGGTGTCAGGCACAGTGACAGTGACACTTCTGTTCCCACCAGGACTGCGGAGGAGCAGACAGCAACAGAAGCACTTAACCAAACCTCGCTGTGACCTGCTCTGTGCCACCCTCTCCAGCGCACCCCGTCCCCTAAGCTCGGTCTAACCCCTCGCTCTGCTCAAGTGGCAGCCCTGGCAGGGCTGCACGTGGGTCCTTGCAGAAGCAGGGCCCCCTGCCTCAGGTGCTTGGATCAGCAGAAGGTTTTTGACAACAGGTTACGTGGCTGCAGGACGCCACCCATCACCCTCAGCGCTGTTCTCAGACAGCGCTCGCCCTTTGCACAGCTGAAAACGCTGCCCAGATGCCAGCAGCTCCATTCTTCGTGGCCGAGGGATGGAGAACCAGCAGGAGAGCAGCCAGACTGGCTCAGCACCAGCAGAGCTGAGCAGGAGGGACAGACCCAGCCGTCCACCTTCCCGTCGGACACTGACAGTTCAACGGCCAACACAAGGACGAGGCAGTGGGTGGGCTCGTGCCCACCTACCCACTCCTGGGAGCAGCAGGCTCTAACGCAGCCGCTGCCACGGCAAACAAAACCAGCCCCAGCGAAAGCTACGGATATGATTTGGCTCCAAGAACTGGAGATGTTCGCTTTTGCCCGGTACGTACAGGAAGGCAACACACACAACCGAGAAACCTTTGGTTGCTCAGATCAGGCTGGTGGGTAAATCACCCCTCAGTTTACTCACCCCACGGAATACAAATCCCATATCCAGGTTTTGAGGAAATGCTTGGGCAGTTTCTCTTCCGCTGAAGACACAAGTGAAAACACGGAGCGCCGATAGGTGGGTGCTGTCAGATGTTCTGCTGGACACAACGAAGTCCCCGTCACTGCAGGGTCCTCTGGCTCTGGTTCAGAGCAGAGGGGCTCCAGCCCGACCCGGGCTGCAGGTCACCCGGGCAGCTCGGCGCTGGAATGGAGGTGCTACCCCAAATTTTAAAATCTCTTGTCTCATTTCAAACGTCAGAGGTGCTGCGGGCAGTACTTGCATTTGTAGGCACCGAGGGAAGGGCAACCATGCCCTCACCTCAGAGATCAGACCAGGGATCCCGACAGCTTGCCAACATTCCAGTGCCAGGAGCCATGAGCCCTAGGCAGCCCCAACAGCTCAACGGGTTTATCACAGTATCACAGAATGGTTTGGGCTGGAAGGGACCTCAAGGATAATCCAGTTCCAACCCCCCTGCCATGGGCAGGGACACCCCCCACTACACC